TTCTAGTGCTCCTCTTAACAAACAACCACTCCTCATTTCACAAGGCCTGGGTTAAAACCAGCTTTTCTATGTAGCATACATTTCATGTTTAAATAATTACTGATTATCCAGCCTGTAAGCAATGAAGTTCTCTCTACCTCTTAACAGTAATGCTGAAAACACAAAATGTTCTTCTTTTCCTTAATGCATCTGTTACATTGTGAGCTTTATTAGCGTTGAGTCAATAAACAGTCCAGTGTGGTGCTTCTGCTTAACAGTCTCACTGAACGACACTGCTTAACAGATCACCTTCAGCCTAATGTTAACAGCACCAGGATGTGGGAATTGAACTTCAGTGGAAAAACCTAAATGGTTACTTCAAAATAAGCGAATGCTGTTCATGCAGCTCAAAGTGCTTTCGAGCATTTAGCTCGTACAGCCAACATGAAAATCCAATGTGAAAATAAAAGGGTTTGAAGAGAGCAGCCAAGGAAACATCCGGTGCTGTTATCCACGTTTACAGTGTCTGGGTGGAATTTCCAAAGCCTGTCAGGAAAGGGAGCCTGACTCCTTTCACATATTCCTGCTGCATGTTTGGCAGCCTCGTGCTCTATGGGCTGTCAGTACCTGGTGCCACTTGGTGTGATTTTCTTCAGGGTGCCCAGCTCCTGGACAGCAGCACACAGGCACGTGTGCTGAGAGCCACCTGGCGTGGACCTCCACAGATCCATGCCTGGACTGCCTATTCCCTTCCTCAGTGAACACTGAATCCTACCTGCATTCTGGCACTGGGAAAAACATTCCTTTGTGACTGCAATTCACCTAAACCCCCCGTGCTCTTTGTCCCACGCACAAGCGCTGCCATAAAACCCACTCTCCCAACTCCTCGCCAAAAAGCTCCGGTCACGTCTTCTGGGGGCTTCTCCCCACTCACGGTGCCCAAGACCCCTTGCAGAGCAAGCAAATTGTCCAGTTTGACAAGTCCTTAAAATGCTGGAAACAAAGCTATTGAAACAAAAAAATGACAAATAACACTGCCTGGATGCCAGTGCCTGTGGGGTTTGTGTGCTGCTCCCTCATTAAAACGTGCCCTGCCTTTGTGCACTGCTCCCCAGGCCTGACCCCGCGCCCCTGCCCGTGCTGCCACTGCCACTGCCCCACGACTGAGACACAACCAGCGACTTCTGCAGCTCCTGGCTCACAATGAGCTCATTAATACACAATTACAAAAGCCCAAGTAAAAGCCTCTCACACCTCATTTGCAAGACGGGCTCCTTAAGTATTTTAGAAACTAGTGGGTCAGATTTTTATGCATTTATGTTAGATTTGATTTTCATTAATGCCAAATGAAGCTTACATGAAGCACTTCTACCTCATATTAAAGGCATGATGCCAGTGAGCATTCGTTTGGTTGCCAAGTATCAGGAGACCCCTCTAATTATCTGGTTTGTACTTAAGCTGCAGCAGAGGGAGATTCCACCGCTCAGAGGAGATGTTCCATAACTTGGCAACTGCCTTGCAGCTGCCATCAGCGCAAGAGGACACAAAAGGGGGTCACTGGCTGGTTGCATTCCTCCTCTGTGAAGCAGTGTGGAGGACTCATGACCAGTAAATCTATAAACTTAAAAAGGAAAGAAAAAAACCTTCAGACCTTTCTCCCCACCCCTCTCTTTTATCTGCTGCTAGGGCAATAATAATGGAAATAATCTGAAGGCCTTTCAGCAAGCGAGGGGGGTAGGAGCATGGTGTACAGCATGGGCTGTACAGCCCTTCAGGGCACACCACTGGAATTTGCTTCCTTTTTCCTTCAGGAGAAGACTCTCCACAAGAAAGAGCCTTGCTCTTGGGGACTCAAATTCTAGCTGACTTTTTGAGATGCAGCCTGATGGGAAATGGATAAAAATTGCAGAAACTCCTTCCTTAAGTGGATTCCAAATCTAGTGAGTAATGCCCTTCAGCTCACAGGTGACGAGTCTTTGGCTCCTCCGTTTTTTCCTGGCCTGGCACAGAAGAACTGCAGTGTCAGGCCCCTCTGCTCAGCAATACACTGGCTGCAGGCCCAGGTGCAGGGAGAGCACCCACTGCATGGCACGAGGCAACAGGGAGGGAGGGCAATGTGTGCCTGCTCCACCTCCTCCGAGAGCCAGCTACTGGGGCAGAGCAGCAATGCTTCCTTCGGTTGTGGGTCAAGTCCTGCAGCTCTTAGCCCCACTGAACTCGTACCCAAATCAATGGAACTTTTCTCCAGACAAAAGGAAATGTTTCTCTCGTTATTCCCGTTAGCTGTGGCTCCGGGCACACGACAGGAAGGGGTGACTTTGTCAAGTCTGCTGGATCTCGGGGACCTGTTGTTAAAGCTAATTTAGAATGGCTCTGGCACATTCTGGCCAGGAAATCCGGTAGCATGGGGTTAACTTTCAGCTCTTACACTGAACACAAATCAGTGAGGAAATTCACTGCTAGGTGAAGTCTCTAATTATTTAAAAGATAATTTGCATGCTACACAGAAATAAATTAGCTCCCAGGTGACAGCTGTTCCACTGTGTCCATTCCTGGAACGAGATGCCACGCTGGGAGATCTAAATGCAGACCAAAAGATTAAAACACTGCACTTTCTTTCCTCGTAGGAAGGCTCTTCCCAAAAGAGAGGCATAAAGAAGAGAGGAGGGGAACAGATGTTTCGAACTATCAAGTTTACAAGCTTAACTAGAGCACACCACATTTTCACAGTCTGTATTTTCTTTTCACTAAGGGCACTTCACATCTTACCAGTAGACGTGGATGCAAGCGTTACATACTAGTTTAAAAAGAAGGTTTTGAAAGTCAAAGAGAGGAACTCAGTCCTAACATCAGGTTTGTAACTCACGTGGGATCCTTACAGACCACATGAACAAGGCCCAAAACAGTTGTTCTTTTATCACACACACAGAAATCAGTGAATGCATTTTCCTATTCTGCACCAAAAGCCAACCACTTTTTCTCTACATGGAAGTCTCGGGACAACTCACAAGAGATGCTGAACCACTTTTCAGTGTAATGGATTTCTAACAGTCTTCTCATGGCTTGCTTTTAACAGTGTCTACTGCACCCTGCACACACATGTATGTGCATTTTATGTGACACTGCACTGTGGGGATGTAGATGTGATACATTATGAGAATACCTTACACTGCCAGCCTTCCTCTGCTGCTCCACGTCCTCCTGAAAGCAGCAGGTTCCTGTGCCAGCTTGCTGTGTTCCAGGACTGCTCCATGGGGATGCCAGGCAGTTTACCTGTTACACCTGCTGGAGAGTGCTCCCTCCTCACAGGATGGACATGTGTAACAGGAACACCAAGCTCTCTGTGTGTGTGTGAAACTGGATTAAAGAGCAGCATATGTTCACTGCTGCAGAGCAACATATGGGATTTCATTCATATGACCAAAGAGCAAGGAGAGAAGGAACAAACCTATCTAAAGATAAGGTAGAAAGAAGACTGAAAATGACTGGAGGCAATAAAACAACCAGATAAGAAAAACCTGGCAACTGTAATTCAGGAATTCTGCCACAGGCTAATGAGAGGTAAGATAAAATAATGAGGCAAAAGGTCCCAAACAACATCACCGTCTAAAGGCTGTAAAAGACAAGTCCAAAATTGGTTCATCATCCCTAATTAAGGAGAGCTGAAGGGATGTGATGAGGCCCTGATACGTGGCGTCCCTCTGTGCAGCACCAGTGATCCTTTGGTCAAGGTCAGGAAAATACTGCTATCTGTGCTGCAGGCTGAAATCCCAAAGCAGGATGATTTATTCCTCCAGATGCTGCTACTGGTGTGAAACTTGCTGGTGCATTTAGCAAGGTGCCCCGACCAAACCTCAGTGTGGTTCACAGAAAAGGTGAGCTCACATCCTGTAATGCCCCAGGAAAGGACTGATGGCACCTGGCCACAGCCTGACTAGGGAGTTCTTCCAGAGCTCCAGATGTCTGATCACCCTGAGCTGTGACAAGGAGATGGAATCACCTTCTGTCTCAGCCCATCTCTCCTGCACTTGTGTCACCCTCTGGAACACCCACTGGCAGAGGGCTGTTCAGGTGAACTTCACTTCTGCTGTGCCCCGTTCCTCTCTTGCAAAACAGCCCCAACATTTGCTAGAAATGGTAATCAAGCCCTTTGGCAGCAATAATTCACAAGCATCTTCTGGACCACAGCACACCCTTCACAACAAACTTTTACAAACTGTTACCTAAATAATGTTTAATCTGAAAATTTGGCTACCATTTGTGCCTTTCTTCTAATCGCTTGTAAATAGAACAAAATCAAACCTGGAAATCTTTCAGACACCACTGTCAGCTTTGTATCACAACAAAAACTGATCATTTGTTCCTGAGCCTGGCTTTCTGTCTCTACCCAGCTGATGTAAAGCAGCACTTCACTACTCCATCTGTGACAGTTTATGTTCCAACACACCATTCGTGTGAGATTTCTTTAAATGAAAATCAAAAGCAATGAAGCATTCTCTCAGAGGAGATGGCACATGACTAGAACTAACCAAGCCCCCCCTTCAGTCTCTCTCATCAGATCAAAGGAGGCAAGTTGTTGAGCATGACTATCACCATGAGTTATTTAAAATCTCCCTACAAACCTCTGGCTTAAAAATTTGATTCAAAGCAACAAAAATACTTTTAAAAGCAACTTTTGAACACGAGTCTTCAGTAATAAAGGATTGTTCAGCTTAATGATTAACCTACTGAATATTCTAAACAAAAGTGATAAAGACACTGAAATGCTCATTCAGATAAAAGATAGTCAAATAAAACACTGCTCCTCCTCCGAGTACATCTCAAACACACAGCTCTTTCCAGCAAGGTCTCCAGGACTTGCATTTTTACCAAGAATTTTGCTAAATAACGGAAAATATTTTCAATTCTGTTTTTCTACCTCTTTGTTCCACGGGAAAACAGCCAAAAGACAAAGCGTAACAAGGCAAACTTTAAATTGTGCCTGAAGGTAGACTTTGTGCACAAGGACGAGCTCCTGTCACCTGTAGAGGTCTGAGAGCTGCCCGGCCCTCCAGCGGTAGCACAGGTCATTGAGCAGGCGCTCGTGCTGGCCGTACAAGCAGATGTAGTTGGGGACAGGGAAGGGTTCCTTGGCAAAGCAGGTGATGCTCTCCACCATCCTGTATCTGCTCAAGCGCATCCTGAAGTAATTCCCGGCAGCAGCGTCCCCGGTCACGATCTCCATGCCCTGGAACAGAGCACAGCAGCCGAGCCGGGGGATGGAAGTGCTGACCTGGCACACGGCCGGAGCTCTCGCTGCTCGACACCCAGAGCCCCTCTGTTAGAGCCGAGGCCCAGGGGGCACGTCACTGAGCCTGGGACACAGACTGTGGCTCCTGCCCACCCCAGGGGCAGCACCAGCCGCTGCAGACACCTGCGGGAGCGTGACACCGGATCCACGGGGACCTGTGACCTCCGGGAGAGCAGCTGGAGTCAGGAGGGAGGCCCTGGGGCATCCCAAACAACACTGGACAGCTCTGTTGGGGAACTCAATTGAACTCTGTTCAGCCTCCTTTATGACACGGAGCACACACACGGCGTATCACGTTCAATGTCAATAAAAGAGCACCGAGATTGGATGTTCACGCTCAAACTGCAGCATTTAGCTTCAGATACTTAAATCAATCACTTAGACAAAAATGTAAAGATTTGCTTCAAACCTCACATTACTGTGAGATGATCAGATAGCTTGAAGCTATTTTTTCTAGCTGTATTCCTGTCACAGTTTTATACATTTCTACAACCTGTTGCTAAGCTACAGGAACCTTTAGTATTTCCACATCTAAGCCAGTGCCTTTCACTAGCTTCTCTTCTTCCTTAGAAAATTCTTTTAGGATTTATATGAAGTTTCTGGAGTGGCTTTAAAAATATGGTCCCTTTTCAGGTAATCAGCAGGTAATCAGAGTGGCAGCAAAAGAATTCTAATCCTATTCTAGCAATTTGGAGTAACAAAACCAATTCCTCTCTCTGATAGTCCCTTCTGCTCTCCACTACACGCTGCTTTAGATGGCTCATCCTGGATCTGAAAAGCAAGGTGAGCCATGCCTTGATTCTTCTCCCTAAACCCTTTTCTTTTGTAAAAACCCATTTGTTTCATTGCTGTTCAGGTTTTAAAATCAACACTGAAGTGGCGTTTTAAAAGCTGCTCTTTAAATCAACTGCAAAAGTGGGCTTGATGCGGAAATTCCCAAGGAAAAAAGGTACAATCTGTGTGAAAGAGGATCTGGCCTAAGTGGAAAGTCCTCTCTGGCTTTAAAAGACATTAATCTAGTCCTTTTCTTGTCTCGAGTCAGGTTCTCCAGTAAGAGAAACACCTCCACGTTTGTATCCTGGGACAATCTCCCACGTAGCCCAGCATGGGGACTGCTTCCCCATGCCCTGTTCCAGGACACCTCTCACACTTGCTGTTTTCTAGCAGCACAGAGCATCTCTTCCACAGTACTTCCTGCTCCTGTAGAAATCAGCTGAATTTCCCTGCCAGACTGCCCTCATCTGTATGCCCCTGCAGCACCATAGCTGGGGCAGCTCATCACAAAGACTGAAAGCTGAAATCCTGCTAATACTGTCCTGTGTCCTCTGCATGGAAACCAGGCGTCTTTGGAGAAAGCCAAATACCAGGAGTGTGGAAAGGAACAGCCAAGAGGTGCTCTGTGACTGCTCCTGGTGCTCTCTCCAGCTGTTCCTGGTGTGCATGGTCCCTCCAGGCCCAGCTGTCTTAAACAGGAACATCTTTTCAAACAAACAGGGGGGATAAAACAAGGAAAGTTCCATTATTTAACTTACGTGATCACACGGGTCATGTTCTACATCCAAGGGCACAGGGATTCCAGGCTTGGAAATGTGCAAGTAGTTATAACCTCCAGGAAGAACACCACCTGCCATCAATGAAAATATGAGATTTATGAAGTCATTAACAATGAAGAAAACAATGTTATTTATTTGTCCTCCTTCTGTCATCGTCTTTTTCCAGTACATAAGGAGTTTTGAATGCTGCACCACCATGAGATGGCACCTGAGGCGAGAGGGACCTGCCTGTACTACAGCAGAGCAACCTGTACCTGAGAGGGGATGGAAGTGTGACAGAAATCCAGCTGGACATACCTTGAACTTTACACCTTCTGTATACAGGGAGGAGTCTGTCTGAGCCTTCTGGTGGCTCAGAACTGGGCTGAGGGCTTGGATCAAAGAGACTCAGCATGGAAGCAGCAAGCTCAAAGCCAATCTCCTTGGAGTTGAAGTTGCTGTGTGTCACATCATCCCTGAAGTATCTCCTGGAGAACTTTGTCAGGGGACCTGCTGCCCTGATGCTGGCATCATTGGTGTGGAATTTGGCATCAATCACAAGTCTTCCATCAAAAACAAGGCAAGCATCACTGATGGCCTTAAAGGTTTCATAATCCAGTGTCCTGTAGGCAAAGCTAAAAAATGCCTAAAAAGAGATGTAAATAAGAGAAGGTAACTGTATATTAATTACTGGCTGATTTCATATATCAAACCCCAGACTTTATTCTGAATGCTACTTTAAAAAACAAGAATGTGAAACACAGTGTGATTTTAGCAACACTGTCACAGCAGAGAGATCCTTCTGATCCAGCATTTACAGCTACCAAAGTTAACACTAAGACAGCAGAAAGGAGAATTACTAAACTAGACTCAGCTGGTCCTGGTTATTAGATAGTTTAAAAACTCCAACATTTGCCACATCAAACAGCCTGAGTGTCTGTGCATATTTTCTGTGTTAGTCCAAGCATGGAACATAGACCTGAACCTCTTGCGAAGTTTGTTTTCCTTCAAATGTTCAAGCCAACATGAAACTCCAAGGAAGAGAAAAGCACAATGTATTTGGAATTTAGCAAGATAATTGTGCATTACAAGTGTTTTCCCAGCTGTTGAGCCTGTTTACTCACAAAATGAGTTACTTTGGCTAACTGGCACAGGGACAGTCAATGAAATGGAAAGATCAGAAATTAAATTTGTTTAATGATGGAATGTCATCCTCATTCCAGCTATAGCAATGGAATTTCAGTCAGTGGAAGCTGCAAAGGCCAAGGACCCTAAATCCATAAATCCCTGTTTTAAGTCCCAAAGAGAAAATCAAGCAATAATTCTCTTCTTTTGTCCTTCCATGGCACGGGCACAGTCCCTCTCCTGAGGCACAAGGAAGCAGAGCTCCTCTCCCCCTGCAGAAGCTGGGGCAGACAGCAGATGTGGGGGAAGCAACAACCATGAGCAGTGTCCTCAAAGCTTTCTCTGGCCAAGGATAAAGCAAGAGCTGGCAGAACACGGTCCCCAAAGGAGGGTAAGACAAGAGTGCCCACTGGACACGGAAGGGTGGAAGGAATAACAATGACAAGGCCGAGAGATGTTTTGAACAAGACCACAGTCGGCAAAGGGCCCAGATGAAGACTGACTCTCATTGCTCCAAGGGTTTGTGGAGCCCCAGAGCCCTCACACAGCTTTCCCCACCATCAGTGTCCTCAGTTTTTAAAACCATCAGACAATAAGTTGCTGCCCCTTCAGCAAGAAATATTCCTTTACGGGCAGGGGAGAGGGTGGAAAGGGTCTCAGAGGAGCACATTTTCCCTTGCTGCCTTCATCCTGAACAGCCCAAAACTAAATTGCCAGGCCAAAGCAGCATCTGTGATCTGTCCTTCCCTTAGCACCAGCTCAGGACAAACCTGGGACGGGGGTAAAGGCCTTACCCAGTTGAGAGCTTTCTTGGGGACCAAGGGCAGGTGTCAGATACTCCACTAGCTGAAAGGAAAGGCACAGGGAGCTGGACGTTTTAGCAACGCTGGCACAAGCAGAGATGCGGCAGTGGAGGAGCCAGAGCTCCTGGGCTTGTTCATAGATAAACTAAGTGATGAGCTATGCACAGCTAAGGGAATTTTGATCATCTCAGAGATCCAAACATCCAGGAAGCTCTGGCCATGAGGGCAAGAGGACCACACAGCCCCACATCCTGCCGGCTGACAGGCAGGACAGTGTCACCGGAGGGGAGGGGAGGGCTGCAACCTCCAGGCGGGAGCCATCTGTCAGCCCAGGCAGGAGGGAGGGAGGAGGGAGGCTGCTGCTGCTTTAGGGAGAGAAGAGATTTTCTCCTGTTGTTTTTATCCTGCAGGACTCAACAAATTAAGTCCCCAAGAACTGCCAATCAACAGTTGATACTGGCTGAAATCCCCCAAGGCCCAGAGCTGCTGCAGAGACGATTCCTGCAGAGCCTGGTCTCTCGTGAGCGCAGCTGCCTTCCTGGTGGAGCTGCTCTCCAGAGCCCTCTCCTCCTCTGAGTCTGATTCTGGAGGCAGATACAGGAGCCTTGAACGGCAGCTGAACTGGGTTTGGAGAACACAAAGCCCTTGACATCACAAGTAATTGCAGTCTTTCATCTTGGAGGCTGTGAAAGAGAGACCTCCGCAGGGAAGGAGCGTGGATGGAGGAAGGACGAGCATGGGGCACGAATGAGCAGGAGAAAGAAACCCCAAGGCAAGGGGCATCTGAAGGAACAGTGCAGGCCTCGCAGACAAGGTGGTGGGGAAAAGACAGGGGGCTGAAGGGGAGCTGGTCAGTGGATACCAAGTTGCAAAAACAAGAATCATATTGAGATCTTTTTGGAAGGATAAAAATAGAGTGATTGCAAGGAAAAGGAGAGAACTTATAAAGCTGCATACAAGGGGAGAGTGGGACGAACATCACTATTGATATGGAGTCAGGAGACTGCTACAGATAAAAGTGCTGTGTGAGGTCTTCACCCCCATGATGAAGGGTTTAACCATCCCTGTGTGAAAAAGGACAGGGCTGCAGAGCAGGGGGGCCAGCAGGGAGCCCCACACCTGGGGAGCTCTCTGGGAGCAGCACAGGGCTCACCCTCTCCACAGTTAACCCCAGCAGCTGTGCAGAGCAGGGCAGCACAGTGGGGAGTACAGAGGGGCTTGGTGGCTCCCTAGGGATGCAGGTCTGGAAGTGACTCACTCCTATGGATTAGCCCAGTAAAGGGAAACACAACTATGCCGACCCTTCGGGAAGGCTAGAACCTGCCCCCAGTCTCAGAGCAGAGCCACACCTCTGACATGACGGCTTCCATGAGATATTGGTACTGGAAGTGAAAAAAACTGCAATCATTGATGTAGAGGGAAAGGAACCTGCTTAAAATATATTTTCATAAAGTTACATGTTATCCCAGTGGTTTTGGCTTCTACTATGACAATCAAATGCACCTAACTATAGACAGAAGTAACTGCACATTTAAATAAGAAAAGTATTTCTGGAATTACTTCAGAAATGAATTAAGAGTATTTGTCACTCGGCAGTGAACAATTACTTGTGTGTCAGGTGACTTAAATACATTTTAATCCAAATCAGTCAGGGCATTAGCAATAGGTTTATTGGGATTTTTTAAAAACCAGTTGTTGAGACTAAGGGATGTTCAATCTCAGAGAGGCCGTGAGGAAGCAGATGAGTGTGTGAGGGAGCAGGTAAATTGATGTTTTGTGCTGAAGGCCAGCGGAAGGCGAGGCGCAGGAAGGGGCACTCACTGAGCAGGGCAGGCGGAGCGGCTCTGTGGCAGCGCTCTCGAGCGGTTTGAAGGCAGCCCAGGCGATGTGGCCGTGCTCATCCTGGCCCCACTCTGCCAGGACGCTGTCAGGGTACACAGCCACCCCTGCCTGTGCCAGGGCATCCCCCACCACACGCTCCAGGGCGGCGTCCCCGAGGCACGGACCGGCAGAGCTGAGCGGAGCCCGCACGAGATGGATGCAGGAGCCATCAATCCCAAGGGATAAGAGGGCTTCTACCGTGGTGTAAATGTCAATTGTATTCCCATAGACAATGACGTTCCCTAAGAGGAAAAAAAAGGGGGAAAGATTTCTGAGACACACAATGAAAACCTTATTAGTATAACTCAGATGATAATAACATGGAATTGCTCTCTTTGACCCTCTAATTTCTCTGATGCTATGAAGCAAACAATGTTACCTAGCAACAGCAGCTAAGATAATTTAGTGAAGAATCTGTACAAAACATCCCACAAAGTAGGCAAGTACTTAACACAGAAGTATGATATTCATCCCGACCCCATAATCTGAAATTATTTTGATTGAAAAGCCTCTAGGGGAAATAAATAAAGAAATCAACATTTTTATTTTGTTCTCCCCTCTCTCCCTAATTTTGCTCATTCAAAGGATGGATGGAGTGGGGAGCGAACAGAATCAAATTCAATACATCATGCAGAAAACCCCCACAGACCACAGAAAGGCCAAGTTATAGAAAACAAGCCCTTGTGCCACATGGAGGTCACCAGTGCCACCGCTCCCTTCTGCCAGAGCCTGATCTCCAGAGAACGGGGATGGCCCTGCAGAGGCACCTGTCCCTGGTGGTGGGGAGAGCTCGGTACCACTCTGAAGGGAGCTGCACATGGCACAATGCCCAGCCCAGAGCCAGTTCCATCCCTGCCCACTGCTGGGAGCTCAGCGAGCTGCAGCTAGCCATCCATCCATCCATCCATCCATCCATCCATCCATCCATCCATCATCCATCCATCCATCATCCATCCATCATCCATCCATCATCCATCCATCCATCCATCCATCCATCATCCATCCATCCAAGCAGCTGCCGTGACAGCAGCATGTAGGAACTGCTGCTCCTTCTGCAGAGCATCAGCACCAGCACAGAAACCACTCCTGAATCCAGCTCCAGCCTCGTACCCTGGGCAAAGGGAGCTCAGACCTGACCCACCCCTCCTGCCTGGCACTGCAGAGCTGCAGGGCAGGGCCCTGCTCATTCTCTTCCTGAGCTGGTGCCACTTCAAATGGCACAGTCAGAGCTAAGCAGGAACACGAGGAGGGGACGGGGTCTGTTCTGTGTGAGCACAACAGGACTCTCCGGCCTAAGGGCTAAAGTCCTCCTGGCAATAAGAGAGGCAGAGCTGGGAGGCAGGAGTGCAGCTCTGTGTTTTATCTCAGGATGGTTTCATACAAAACACATCAACATTCCTCTGAGCAGCACTGAGACTTGCTCCTTCTCCTCCCCATTCCCTCTGCCCCCTTTTGGAACAGCAAGCATTTGTCTGCTCTGTGATCCACTAAGGCTTTGAGTAGCCCAGGTGCAGCTGGCATAGGGAGCTCCTCTCTGGGGCTAAGGACTCTCACCCCAGGGCACAGCCCAGCCCTGCAGGCTCTCTGCACACCACACACCCCCCACAGCCGTGCCACACTGCCCCAGCCCCGTGTCCACATCAGCTCCTGTGTTTCAGATCTGACCTGTCAGCACGAGGATGCCTCAAAAGCACCTTCCCAGTGTTTTCACATTCCTCACCTGGGCAGTGCTGCAAACAACTCACACGTTTATCCCAGCAGTGGCATTTCTGCCTCGCCACAAGTGACAGCATCCCCTATGCCCTGAACTGTATTATTTCATGGGCTAAACTAATCTCACTGGACCATGTTTTGCTGCATGAGATGCACGGCAATACCAAACTGAGCATGAACACAGCCCCAGATCCCAAGAATATTAATGATAAAAACGTTAACAGATGTTCTACTATTCCCCTTTGACTACAAGGTTATTTTATTCGTCCCCATCAGTTTGGCTACTTGTAGCTGCCAAAGAAACATCTCTCTTCATAGCTGCCAGAGAAAAGATTTGCCCCATGAGTACACTGCATGTCAGTGACAGAATACATGTTTTTGCTGTTCACAGCAATGACCCGAGGGACAGAACCATTTTACCTGCAAATGTATCAACTTGAACACAAAAGAAGAAAGAGATCTTCCTACTTCCATAAATATCAAACAGCATCCAGGAGTGCTGCAGTGTGTCCATCGCTGAGCAGACTTCCTAAGCCAGAAGAACCTATCCCACAGCTTGTGCCTGCCAGGACACCCATCTGCAGGTGCACTGGCCTCAGGAGAGTGCCAGAGGAGAAGACAGATGTACACCTGATTGTTTTTTCCCCACTGCAGCAGGGTGTAATGCAAGAAGCAGCCCAGCAGAACCCGTGGGTAGGTAAAGGCCAGCTTTGCTATACTCATTTTTATTAAAGCCAGGTGCTGACAGTGCAGGCCAGGATGTGGTGTGCAGGCGCTGACACCTCATGCTACATTTACACATTTTCAATTTGCAGGGAGTGAAATGTATGAGGATGGAAGAGGATGCCGTGGCTGTGGCTGGAAAAGGAGGATGAGGAGGCTTCCCTGAGGCAAAGCTCCGTTCTGACTGCAGGGCAAGGCTGGGCTGAGACCCTTCACCCTTGGGCAGCACAGCCCCCTCAGAGAGAAGCTCAGTTCCTGCATTAGACACTGGCATTTAGAGATGGATAAGATCAGATGAGAGCCCTACATTTCTCAAGGAAAATTAAAATTCTGTTTTATATGGTAATATTAAATACAAGTGCATTAGATCAGGGAAAGCAATGCTCCTTTATTGACCCCTTGTAAATCAACAATTTACTGCTTCTGCTTATTACAATATTAGTGGCTTTTTAGACGACAGTGCTAGTAGTCTAGGAACTGCAGATATTCATTATGGACTGAAATTATGCCTACTGAACAGAGAGCAGTTCCTCAGGATGCTTTTATTATTTAACTACATGAAAATGTATGTATCTGTGAGTAAATATAATAACGTTCTACAGAAAAAAACAGCCATCAATAAAGATCATTACAGTAGTTTTATCGTTTATTACCTGAATGTCAGCGTCCTGCTGCAGAGCAGACTCATTAATTTTCCACAAGTAGAAGCACAAGATCTCGGTGACCCTAAAGTGACCTGAATCTTTGCAGTTTGCAAAAGCTAAAGGAGAAACCCAGTATGAGCTAAAGCATTGGTGGCTCCAGTCGGTGATTCATGCATTGGAATTTTAATGCAAGAGTATTCCTACAAACACACTTTTAATAAGGCAGTAAACTATGCTTAGGTGAAGAGAAAAAAAATAATTGCTCCATTTTGGGCCATTAAAGCATTTTTGTTCCTTACTTTACTTCCATCCTACTTTTATTTTCATGGAAAGTGCAGAGCTAATAGGAGATGAGTTTCAATTAGTCCCAATTACAGCTGTAATAGGTTCCATGCATTAGGTGGCTGGGTTTCATCAGTGCAGCCACAGAGGCAGCCACGGGGCCAGTGCTCGCCCTGCTCCCAGAAGCAGCAGAAAGCCCTCCCAGAGCCCTGGCACAACTGTCAAGAGTGAAGGAATGACGTTTGTAAGAAACACAGCTAGAGAAAGAAGCAGAGTGAGGAATAAGAGAAAGTGAGATCAGTGGAGGAAGACCTCTCCAGCTAGGCACTCTGCACAGCAGCAGAGAACTTAATGAAGAGCAAGGAGAGGGAGCTGAAGCCAGAGCAGGGGGGAAAGGGGATGGTGTCACATCTCTCCTAGACCACATCTCCAAAAGTTCCCCCAGACCAGCCTCACTGGTGGTGTGAATTCACCTTCTCTAGGCAGGAAGCCAGGCCAGGGCCTCGTTGAGAGCTGCAGCTGCACCCTGGAGCCAAGGCCAGCAGCAGTGACAAGTGAGGATGACCATCCCCTGAGTTCAGCCCCCGTGCCAAGGCAGGCGGGACACGGCGGCTGTGCCGTGCGCTGCGGGGTGACCGATCCCTGGCACGTCCCTGTGCAGGGAGCACCTGCCAGGATGGGCACACAGGGCACTGCAGGAAGGACCAGCAGCAGCAAAAGGGAAAGCTAACACCCTTGTGTCTGTGCAAAGTCAGCTGCTGCAGCAGCCACACACCAGGTACGGGCAGGGCTGGCACCAGGGAGGACAGGCAGGGCTGGCACCAGGGAGGACAGGCAGGGCTGGCACCAGGGAGGACAGGCAGAGCCAGACTGCTCCAGAGGCCAGGGAGCTGGCTGAGAAACACTGACACCTTTATGGACCCCCTTGCTGATCACAGCAAGACCTGGGGGATGATAAAGGAATTTCCAGCGTTTTTAGAACTTCCCTCAAGGACTGCCAAGCAGATGTGAACCTTGCACCACACCGAATCACTGCCAATTGCCATGGCACTCCACAAACACATCTTCAGGAGAGTCCTGCTCTTGCACTCTGCCAGCAGGAATTCCCCACAAAGACAGCTTTCCTGCTCTGAACTGTCCTGACTCAGACACAGCAGGAACTGACACCTGACGAACTCACTGACTCTGGTCTCTGTTTCTCTAGCTCAAAGTTGACTCAGAAAGCTGGATGGTGCCGAGTGCTCTCCACAGCGCACACACAGTGGATGAACCAGAGAACAAACGAACAGAGCACACACAACAAGGCTGAGGAAATACAGGGATGGTGCACATCGGCATAAACGTCTGATTTTAAGGGTTAAAAAGTACCAGGAACTTGCAGTCCTATGTGAAAATCTGATGCAACTGAATACAATGCTGACAGACACTTCCTAATTTAGACTTATTTACTTTCTGTTATGCCACAAATCTAGATATCTTTCTATACAGCAGAAAACCACATCCACTAATTAAATTATTATTTCATTGGCTAATTAATGATTCTGGACAGATTTGCATTTGGGACTCATTCAGTTTTATATAATAACTGCAGATAATTAATCTATCTCAAACCTTTCTTTCCCAGCTAAGTATGCTGGGTATCAAAAATAACAAAAAATTGTAAATTAATCTGGAAAACAAAGCACAGCAGATGAAAGGCTTTGTTAGAATTCATCAGGCACCAATTATACCAGGGAAGAGAGGAACTAATAAGCCTAAGAAGCATTGCTGTAAGTGCAGGTACTAAGGGAGCCCCTTACCTCTGGAGCTGACGAGGTTTTCCTGCAGCCAGCGTGCTGCCTCCGAGCAGTCCTGGGCGTTGTTGAGAGTGAAGTGGTTGGAAGGGACTTTCTCCGTGTATCTCTGCGGCCACTGACTCGTGACTTCAGTGCTATGTGCTCCTGTGGGGGCCAAGGCCTGCGGGAATGAGGCGGTGAGTGGGTATAAGGCACGGACCTCGGAGATGGTAAAACACCCTCTCACTTTGGCTACCCCAGGGCTGCCGTTCTGGCACATCCCAGTGTCACACTCAGCAGCAGCACACACACCCAGGGGCACAGGGAACACTGATCCCACTGGTCTGAGTGTACACTCAGAGCATGTGCTCCCTATTTCCTGCGGGATGTGGCTGACCACTCCAAACAGCGCTGCCAGCGCAAGCGGAGGCACATGGCAAACAGCACAAACGTCCCAACACTCAGCCGGGGATCTCAGCAGCTCTCTGAATAACAGATCACTTAAAATGGCCCTTGGAAAGTCTTTGTGAAGCACACTGCCTCCACCTTTTGTCAGCAAAAATCAGCCTTCTGAAACGACTGATTTTGTCCCAGAGAAAGGGCTCAAAACCTGCTTGATGGTTCAAACGTGAAGATTCAGTAACACGACCACTGTGTAATGCTGCTTTACAAAAACAAACTCGGTCTGAGCTGTACAAAGCAAAAAGGGAATCTTGTCTCTGACTTCCTCAGCACCACTGAGCCACATCCTGAACCCTGTTCTCACTGCCAGCCAGACCAACTGAAATACTGCTGGGTCGTATAAAACCGGGCGTGACACCAAAAGATCTTACTCAACAAGTAAATCTCTAAATCATAACACATAATGTTTTACTAAGCATTAATCTGACTGCTTACCAAGTAAGGAACAGCTTATAAAAAAGGATGGACTAGAGCTCTGTGTAATAAAACAGAAGCCACTAATTTCTTATCCTTTTGTATAGCTTGAAAGTGAGAACAGATGATGATGAGATTTCTTCTCAAAGGCAAATAAAACCTGCCTTTTCCCTTGCCATCTTTATCTTTCTCCCCCAGTGCAGTTACTTGACATAAATTATTCTGCAAGTCAGAGCTACCTCCAAACACCTTTTCCTAGGAGCACTTTTCCAGCCCACACTTTGGCTTTTGCTTCACCCCTGCTGAGCAGTGCCCATGGGCTGCTGTTTAAGCATGGCTGTGCCCTGAGAAGGCTCCCAGACCCCAGAGCCTGCTGCACACAGGCAGCCAGACACCGCTGTGGGATGTGCTACAGCCCTGCAAAGCTGCAGACACTGCTCACACCCATCTCCTGATTTTAAAGGCAAAATGCCTTGCTCCCAACTCCTACCCCAAACCACCTAGGTAAGACAAAGCCCCTGCAACAAGGGGGCTGTGCCAAGCTGCCTGTTTGGTTGTATCCCCTGATGGCCTCATGCGGATACAGGAGCCAGAAGCCGCCCTGCCCAGGGAGTCTGAGTGGAAGCTGACTCCAACATCTTACATGCAGCTAAGGGTCTGCTTCAGTCTCACCAGGAACTCAGCTGTGTGCTACAATACCAAGCAGCACCGTGGATGTGCCTAGGCATGGCCATCACGTGAGATGAGTAATTAATTTGATAAGGAATTCTCTCCATTTCCAAAACTAGGTCAAATGGTGATGGACCAGCTGGAGTTAAGTCTCCTGTGGCTGGGACCACATGTCAGCTGAGCCTGCTCCTTAGCAGGTTTAATGGTTATGGTGGCAAAAACACCGGCAGCTTTTCCTCCTGGCCAACCCTGAGCAGTAACTGCTGGTGGGAAACTCTGCCTGACCCTCCTTTCCTCTCCTCCAGCTCCAGCAGCAGAACCAGCACAGCCCAACCGGCTGCACTACAGGGCTGCAAACTGCTGCTGCCGCCCCTGCTAAGGCTGCTTTGCCTAACCTCAGGAACACCACTCCCTGTGGAAAACCTGGGAATCCTGTGCTGCTTCACTGCACACAGCTCACCTGGTAGCTCTGTCCCGTGCACAGAACCAGGTAGTCGTAAGGCACTTTCTTCTCCTTGGAAACAACAACGTATTTGGCACTGCGGTTTATGCTCGTCATTTTACCAACCACAACACTGACCCAGGAACAAAGTGACATCTGTGCATAATCGTCATCATTAAAACAGTGGCTGCGAAAGAAGAGTATCAGTAAGTGACATTTCGGCAGCTGACAGCAGGCATTAATTAGACATCTGGTGAGCTGGGCTCGGGCCCCCAGTGGTTCCCCCTGCTCCCTTGCTGGGAGTTTACGGCAGCCTGCGGTAAAAGATTAGGCATTAGGAGATACTCAGTTACAAATTGACAACTTTCTGCTGAAACCAAACAAACCCTTCCGGCACTGGGCCTTACAATCACGTAATTTAAGAACAGAGTCAGAAATCTATGCTTTACTCTGCTTTTCCTTTGCAGGCTCATACGAGGTAGAAGCTTTTGAACCTGCAAAGAAAATAATTCAATAGTCCAATTCTTTCTCCAAGACTTCCTTATTCAGCTTTTCCCCAACTTTCCTTCCTTTGCTATCCAGCTTCACCAGTCACAGCTAAGGTGAGACATAAACACAGGGAATGCACTCTACCATTTTAGCATCCGTATTCCAAAGTATTAGTCCAGAAAGTGTAAAAATAAATAGAAAGCTAGGAAAACGGTTGTCAGAGCTAGAAGTAAAAGGCAGAGATCTTAAGTCTCCTGTTGGTGACCCTCTTCTGAAAGAACTTTTCCACAATGCAAGACTGACAAATACTGCACACTAAACTTGTCCCGAGCGGAGCGCTCCGGGATGTTTGGGGTGTGCACGGAGCACACATCCATCACAAGCCACGTGCTCTGACAGTGTGAATTCCATGTCAGTACCCTAAAATCATGCATTGGCTTTGACAGTCTCGGACAAGGTTTGCTTTTCTCGTGTTTTAGGGGTGTTACAGCCTGTTCCAAGTAAAAAGCACACCCCTATGCGTGAGAGAAGTATCAAAGATCTGGAAGCTGCTATTTTAAAAAGCCAATTTTAAAGCAAAATCCAAATGGAACAAAACCTCTTTTATTGCCTCAGTAATGAAAATTACAATTATTTCCAAAGGTCTTTTCAGGCTTGGAGTGTGCCCCCACCAAGTATGTCCAACCAGGTAAATACTAGGACACATACTTATTACTGCATTTGTACCACCCTCTCTGCTTAATAAGAGCCTCTGCAAAGACAAAGACTCCTGGAGACAAAATACTTCCATACAGATGTGCAACAAGACATCGCTACAAAACGTGAGGAGAACCAGAGAGAGAACATCCCCAGCTAGGTCCATGGTGGCCCCTGAACACCACTGAGCCCAGCAGTGACCCACCAGGAAATGCACAAGAGGTCACTGGCCACTGTGCAGATCCAGCTGGGCTCAACTCCATCCCTCCCCAACACTGAGGACCTGCACCAGCCAAAGCCTGATCACTCAGCTTCTTTCCATAGAACTGGACAAACACATTGCAGAGCAATAAACCCACAGGGTCCAGTGAAAAAGAATGCAACAGATTTAAAACAAGCAAAAAAAGAAGGGCTCACCAGCCCTTCACACAGGTGTCTGGTTTGTGAGACCACAGCAAGAAGAAACACTGAACAAACTACTGAAAGAAGCAGAGTCTCACCCCTGCCAGGATCTCAGGAGGGGAATGGACAGTACAGAGAGACCCTGGGCTCCACCCAGGCTGTCAGCTCAAGTCACCACAGAAAATACATTCCACCTGCCAAACTAAGCTCATGGCCTTTTGGAGACCCAAAAACTTGACTTTCTAGGTACACTTAGCAATGAAAACTGTTCCACTTTCTCCCACAGGCCTCCAAGTGATTAAACAGAAGACATTCTCAAGCATTTGATGCATTTCTGTGGCTGCAGCAGAGTGCAGGCAGAGACCAGCACTGACAGCTGCTGCTTTGCCATTAATGCCAAGCCACACATCCCCACAACGTGCTCCTGGTTCCACGTTAATCCTTGCTACCAAACTCCCAAAACCGACAATCAGGATGCCACAGGAACAAATACAGGTTGATTTCACAAGCCAGGGGAATTTTAGGATTGAATTTCCAGGCTTTCTGTGATACCCTGCATTCTCTGTACTCACAGATACCAGAGGAAAATAAATAAGGCAAGAAAACCACTGACAATTCTGAGCTGTAATAATGCAGAGATCTATAAATAAAATGGACATTAAGGACAGAGGAAGGTTTTCAAAAGCACCTCTATAATTGAGGTGCACAGCTCCCAGGAGACTGACACTCAAAATCACAGGGATGCTTTCAGAAATCATACCCTGCAGAGTTCAATTTTCACTCTTAATCTGCTTTCAGATTTTAACAGCTAAATCTGGTGAGGCGGCTCTGAACTGCAACTTTCTGTCAGGGAGGATGCTTTGTTAGTACAACTCTTTCCTACAGTGAACTTGGGAAAAAGACTTTGTGCATCTGTGTGAGAATGTAATTCTTTCATTTGCCAGATTTGCACTTGAACACACCCTTTCTACAGCACAAAAAGTAATACAGGTAACTACTTACACAAAATCCCTTGTCAGGGCAAAATTCCAAATGAGATCAGATAGTTTTTAACAGGTTCCCACTACACTATTTTCACATCTTTGTAGAGATTTCATTTGTAAGGTTCAGCAAGCAGACGTGGAGCTGTTTTGTCATTTAAAGAGCCAGCCCTTTAGTGCGCTGCAGCTCACTGAGGAAAAGTTTTGGTAAAATACAATGTGAAGGCTCCAAAGAGTCACATGCCAAATCTAAATAACTTATACTAAGTTCATTCCCCAACTAATCAGAATAACTGATCCATTTTAATTCTATGCTTCTCAATGTTCAAAACAACCATGATCAAGTCCACGGTGATGATTTATTCCAAAATAAAACCCACAAATATTGTACTTAAACGAGAATTACGTACTGTGAATTTTAAAGAGATAAGATTTTCTCTGACTAAATGGAAGCTATTATATTTATTGGCAAACAAGGAAGCCCTTAAAGTGTTTGACAGTCCCTAGACAAGGCTCTTCCACCATTTCCCTTCAGCTGTACCCAGCGCTGTGCCTGGGACTGAGGGCAGACTGGCACGAGCAGACCATGAGCAGCAGAACTGATGCACAACAGCTCTGCCAAACTCATCAACAGCAACAGCAAAATCCCCACCACCACTGCTGGGCTCTGCATCCCACCACATGCTGCTCTAAGTCAGTCCCTGCCACGTTACCAACATTAACTCTTGTATGTTCTTTGGTTCAGCACTATTTAGAACAAAACTCATGGAAGCTAAAAGCCAAACAAGATTTAAAAAGCAAGCAGACATCTTGTGTCATTTGTCATCAACCTGGAGATTTAAACAATCTCAAAAGCCTCGGAAAACAGAGCGCAGGTACTGTCCAGGCGTTACACAGTGGATTGCTGTCCTGAAGTTACTGCTTTGGCGCTGTTTCCCTACTCAGAATTCTATCTGTCTCCTCTTGTAGGTGAGTGCACGCTGGATAGACAGACTGCAGTATTCTGGGGCTCTCTACGGATGGATCTAAAATTTGGGACGAGTTCACAAGAATTACAAAGTGTTATGTTTTCTGCAGGAGCTAAGGAAGTGTTTAGATGTGAAGTCAAACCTGTTAATTAAAAATCTTCTATACTTGGAGCTCTGTGGGTCTTTTCCTGGAAGGCCATGAATGGAAATCAAGGTCAGGTTGTTGAACTTCAGACGTGGCCTGTGGGAAGAAAAACAAACAGCCCCAGTTGGAAAAAATTTGGAGGGCACGTCAATGGAACGGCATAGCTCAGAATTCCATGTTCAGAAGGATACAGAAAGCAATTCCTTTACACAGGGACAGAGTGTTTCACTCTGCTCAGGTGCAGGTGTCTCTGGATACAAAGAGAACAATTTCCACCACAGTTTCAGTGATGCCGGGGCGAGGAGGGGGACAAGACTGACAGTATGTTGAACTAAATGCGATCTGACATTTGAAAACAAATAAATATTATGAGTGATTAAGCCTTCTAATCTTCAAGGCTTTCTCTAAGTTAAGGATGGACTGATGCAAATGGTACAAAGGAATCAGAATGTTTTTTATCAACCGATGTTAATTTGTTATTCATACATTTAAAAAATATATTCAAACAAAGTTAAAGGTCATACTTAAACCAAGGAATTTCAAGGTTACGGCTGCCCCTCTCAAAATGCATATTAATAGTTTAATTCTGGATTATGGATTATCTGTGGTAAATCTCCATGCATACTCAAGCCAAGCACAAAGTAATAAATAACCTTAATGTAACAGAGTGCATATATTTATACAGATTATGGGCCTGATTCTCATTTAAATTAAGGTCACTCTGCAGAGGTGGATGTAAATAGAATTTGCTTTTCATTTATGGCCACCTTATGCTGCCTGAGCGATACAAAATGGTCTTTAATGTAAATGAGAGTGAGCCTGATCCACAAAGCTGAAAGCAGAGTGTACGAGTGATGCCATCTGCACACCGGGAGCGCCACGCATGGGGTGTGAACAACAACTACGGGAACTTCACACACCGACAGAGCACTGCTCCCTGGCACTCATTTACCCGGGATAAATAACATAAACATCCTACACGTCCTCCCATCAGAGCAAGGAGACTGCCTTGCAGGGTGGAGCTGAAGTCATCTGCACACACTGCATGGCCTCTTGCCAACAGGTGCTGGAATCCAGGGGCTACAGTAACATCATGTTTAAATATTACTGTTTAGGATGGAAACCTTGTGAGCCAGCATCAGCAACATGGCAGAATCCAAGTTCTAGGCACCATTAATGTGCCTCTTTTGCATGACTGCAGGATGATGCACTTTATTGATCTGGTCACATGCCATTTTCCTCTGCAGATGCTCTACCTCTACTGAGTCCACATGCAGGCATCCAGGATTTCCCCAGTCATATGGTATTTGTTCCCTTCTTCCCCACTGAGCGGGAGGCTTCAATCAGACCTTTCAGTCAGTACGATTTACTTACTACTGACTTACTTCTACCTCAGCGCTCCCATGGCATCCCCATATGCCCCAGACATTAACTCATGTTTCCCACTCATTCATCTCACATCAAAATGTTGATTAGCATCTCCTTGGCTGCAGGGAGACGAAACGAGTGGTACCTTTGCTTTGCCCTTCAGACGGAGGAGCAGCCAGGCCCCGGGGCAGGGTGGCTGGCATCCCGGGGCAGGGTGGCTGGCAGCCCCCGGGGCAGGGTGGCTGGGATCCCCCGGGGCAGGGTGGCTGGCAGCCCCCGGGGCAGGGTGGCTGCATCCCGGGGCAGGGTGGCTGGCATCCCGGGACAGGGTGGCTGGCATCCCCCGGGGCAGGGTGGCTGGCATCCCGGGGCAGGGTGGCTGGCATCCCGGGGCAGGGTGGCTGGGATCCCGGGGCAGGGTGGCTGGCATCCCGGGGCAGGGTGGCTGGGATCCCCCGGGGCAGGGTGGCTGGGATCCCGGGGCAGGGTGGCTGG